CGATGCCGGTTGTACCACCGGTCCCCAGCGTACTTCCATTTGCCCCTCTCGCCGGTTATGCTAGCATGCCTTGCACATCTGCTCCCAACCCAAGCTTGCCTCCGATCGCGGGGCCTCAAGGCGCCATGATGCCTCCTCCACCTGGGTTCGCGGGCCCTTCCTTTGGCTTTACTGACAACCCATTACCAATGCTGCCGCCTTTCGGCCCCCAAGACACCCCCTTCCATATGATGCCTGGATTGATACCTTTACCGACTCACATAGGACCCGTCATGCATCAACCACCCCCTCCTGGCTATCACGGCCCTTTACCCATGCCTCCTCCTGCTTACGGCTAGGGTCCTGGAGTTGGCTTGGGACCTTTCGGGCCCGGTTTCAACTTTGACAACCTATTGCCCCCTCCTCCGCAGCATTTACAGTGGCCGACTCCTGGACCCCCTATGCCCACACAGTTCGCGAGACCAGTGGCGAAACCTAAAGACTCAAATACTCGGAGTCAGATGGAGTACGAAGCCCACATTGAATGGCGCAAAGCCAATGAGCCTGGGTATGCATTGAAGTGCAAGGAGAGACAACACCGTCGTGCCATCCGCAACAGTCAGGGCAAGTCAGGATGCGCCATCCCCATTGTCGCGCCCGTCATCGAGACCAAGACGCAAGGCTGACAAACGGCGGAGCTTGGATGTCATGGCGAAGAACGAGCTATTCATGTGGCAAAAGTAATGAAGAGAAACATTGATTTGGATCGGCCGGTTTGCCGAGAGTATGGTGCCATCACCGGGGCCATTGTTCATTGCTTTTCAGAAATAGATGATTAGATGTCCGGTTCACCCAAGTTGGCATGGTTTGATTGTGTCTTCTTATGCTCCGCTTCTTCAGAGTTTTCAATGAATGTCACGACAGGACACCTAGGCCTGCAACCCAGGCAGATTCATGGAGAACCCATTTCTAGGGACTTAGCTCCAGTCATCGCCATTGATTTTGCAGAAAGGCTCGAGCTCGCCCTCGCCAACCTCTCCAGCCTCGCAGGGCTTGACACATCCGTTGTAGCGGGTGCAGACGACGCCAACCTTGGCCAGGCAGTAGTTTGACAGCTCGGCGGTGTCTCCATAATTTTGGTTGACGCCCACTGAGGGTTCGATCCAGGTTAGTCGATAGCCATTTCGCCATTGTTTTCACACTTTGCGGGCATTGCGCCTCGAGACTTGGGGCTGTCACTCACCAACTGTGCCTTGGATGCCAACAAAGTTGGTAATGTTGACGTGGCGCTGGAACTGCTGGCTGCAGTTACCGCAGGAGCGGTAGAACTTGCCGTACTTGTTGGCGTAGAAGCCGTCAATGTGAAGCCAGCCCTCGCCTGAAAGATGCGGTCATCGTTAGCATCCCATCCCATGTTCACGGGCTGCGAGGTTGAAAGAGGGAAAGGGGGGGGGGATGAGGAGATCGACTGACCGTTGTGCTGGAAGACCTTGTCGCTGGCCTCGCGGGCGCCACCGCCGCGGACGTAACGCGGGCCGGCGCCCTTGAAGGTGGCGGCGTCCTCGCAGACGTCATCCCACCAGACGTTCTCAATGGTGCAAGGCCCGCGGCAGTGGACGCCCTCGGCCTGGGCGGGGCCGATGATGGCGTTGCGCAGCGTGGCGCCGGGCTCGAGGATGAAGACGGCGGCGGCCTCGTCCTGCTCCTTCTGGCCGCTGCAGTCGCCGGGGCTGCCCTTGCGGTCGAAGAGGGCCATGCGGCCGTCGAAGACGGCGCCGGCCGGGATGACCGACGCTGTCGGGTATGAGGTGCTGCCCGTCGGCGTCGGCCAGACTGTGTTGACAGCCGGGTGAGGGCACGAGACGCCGCCGGAGGCCTGCAACTTGATGGTGCTGGTCGTGACGCGGTTGTGCGGGTCGTGCTCGTCGTGCGGGTCGTCTGGCCCGCGGCCGAGGACGCCAGGGAGCAGCAGAGTGCGGAGGAGGGAGAGCTGGGTCATTTTTCTTCCGTCGGGTCTTTGCCGTGATGCCGCCTCCTGGTGTATCCTCTGTGTGTTGATAATTGATGAAGGCATCCGGGGCGGCTTCTGACGACTAGAGGTCCGCTCTCATTATATCGGCTTGCGTCTTCCCAGCTCAGACGCTCGGTCAGCATCCTGTTCTCCGCTCGAAAAGCTGCTTGGCACTCCTAGTCGTGGCACATAATTCTTCCGGCGGAGGAGTGTACTGTCTGGCGATACAGCTGCAACATCACCCCCTTTGGCAGGTCAGGGTCCCGCGCAGAGCAGCGATCCTACTGCTTCCAACGCGGAGAACCTGGATCCGGCAAGGGCTTGTTGGCGGGATCACAACCTGGCCCCAGGTCGGCGTTGTGCAGGGAGGGCGGGCATGCATGGGCGCGAACTTCCTATTTCAACGACAAGGCCTTGTTCCTCCACCAACCGGGTGATCCTTGGGTCTTTGGGGGGTGGCGGGTAGGATCGCCGGGCTTCGGTACATCTCTCCAAGGGCGTAGATCGATGCAGTTGACGGCACATGGTGGCTGATGGGAACCCCGCAATCTCGATCGGGAAAACAAGCTTCTCTTGTTGCTTGAAACAAGGATCGGAGATTGCTTGAGCTCGCTTGCCTTGGTGCAGGGCCCTTGGCGGGAGGTCTCTCTTGAAGCATCGATGAGCAGCACGCTGCATGGATCTCTGGTTGCAACGCCGGTGCAGTGCAGGACACTGAATGCTCGAATGTTGCCATCTTTACTGTATCAGTGTGATGACCACATTGGTGCCTCGATGCCCTGCGACGTGGTTAGATCCAGCGCCATACTTGGTTAGAAAGATAAAAAGGCCCAGGCATGCTAGCCCGCATCAACTCTGTCGTGAGAGCACAGGTCCGTAATCACAGAGAGAGCCATTCAAGAGTGGTCAGTACCAAGAACAACCACACCCAAGGGTGATTTCAGTCTGGCCAAGGAACCAACTCTGCTAAGGGGTTCGCCAGGCCTCTGGAGACTTACCAGGGTCTCGATTCAGGTACACGGCAGAGACCCGCGGCAGTCATCGATCATACTGTCCCATTCATTCCGTGGTTGCTACAGCGAAAGTAAAGTCTATGCTAAGTCTGGTATCACATTTCCATTTTGTACTCACATCTCCCATGGCCGCAACGTCCTCCCGTGTTACACGTGGCGGCCCTCGTCCTGGTCCCAAAGCCTCAAGCGTCTAAGCATCCTTGCTCAGCTCGATGCCGTAGGCTCGCAGCGCCGTACAGGCGAACAGCTCAGCCTGGTCCTCAGGGTCCATGGTGGCCATGTAGCACATGCGCTCGATGAGTAGTTTCCACTTGCGCCAGGAGGCACCGTCGACGGCGCCGCCGTCGCGCACGGTGCAGACGGGCCAGTCGGAGGCGAACATGGTGCGGCGCGGCCCAAAGGTGGCGAGGACGATGCCGAGCCAGGCAAAGAGGGCCTCGAAGATGGCGTCGGGCGGCTGGGAGGACAGCGACGGGGCCATCTCAGCGAAGCCGCCCGAGAGCTTCATGTAGGTCTTGTCGCACTTGGAGAGGGAGTACATGGCGTTGCGCCAGTGCTGGAAGGACGGGTCGGCCGTGTTGATGACGGTCAGGTCGGGCTTGCAGAGGTGGTTGACGATGACGGTGACCTTTTCGTCGTCGGGGACGTCCTTGTGGGCGAGCTGGATCATGACGAGGGCGTCCTCGAGCTGCTGCTTGCCGCGGCGGTGCTGGTCGACACCGAGGTCAAAGGTGAGACCGCGGCGGCCGAGCAGCTGGAGCGAGCGCACAAAGTCGTACTCGATGCCCGTGCCGTGGGGCTTGTCTTGGAGGAGGTAGCGCACGCCGCGGATCTTGGGCCAGGCGACGGGGCCGGCGACTTCCTGGACGCGGTCGAGGTAGCGGTCGAGGACTTCGGGCCCGGAGGGCAGCGGGGCCCAGGGAACGATGCCCAAGCACAAGGAGGCGTCGGCGGCCGAGTGGCCCTCGCCCTCGCGCGGCGTGCCCTCGGCGATGCGGCGGAGCCAGGCGACCTCGGCGAGGGGGGCCTCCCAGCCAGACCCGTCGGCGGCGCCGCTGGCGAGGTCGTGCTTGCGGTCGGTCTCGAGGAAGATGAAGCCCTTGAGGTTGGACGGGTTGCCCGTGGCGGCACGGTATTCGTCCACAGAGCGTTGCGCGGCGATGGGGTTCTCGGCGGTGGCCCAGGCGAGCGAGTCGACTTCGGAGGAGGGGTAGAGATGGATGTGGGAGTCGATGATGGGGTAGTCGGCCATGATGACGGTTCGCAGTTGGCTTTTCGCAATTGTATCCAGGCACTTTAGTCGTAGTAGGTTTTCGGGATGATGTCCCAGTAGAGATTGGCAAGAATCGAGGTCAGTGGGAGGCAGGTTTGTGGTGATGTCGAAGGCGTGAGAGTCTGAAACATCTTCAAATGGCGGCGGGGTATACCTATTCCTTCTTCCTTCTTCCAACTGAGGTGAGCTGCCTGCCTGTATGCTCCTTCTCGCCCACCCCCGAACCGACGGGATAGAGCAACTGGTCCCTGAAACTCGCAGCTACCCCGCCAAATTATTGGCCCAACCTACCCCGTCTGGTCTGCCCAGTGGGGGGAGGGAAGTGACGTTAGGGTTTCACAGCATCTGTTCTTGGTGCCACAACCCCGCTTTGCTTTCTCCCGAAACCCGAGCTCGTGAGGTTTGGCTGTGAAAGAGCACGCAATACCCAAGACGCTGGGAATGCATCAGAGAATACATCACGAAACATAGCAAGAATACTCACAAGCAATTGAGAACCCCTCCATGTGAGTCTCCTCACCCGGTGCATCCAGACAAGCAACACCGCCATGATCCTTGCATTACGACCCGGTCACCGCCTGCCTCTGTTCACACACATCTGTACCCATGCCAAGCGACCGTGCACGCCAGTACTACTGAGCAGTAGCCGACGGCAGAGACTTGTCACTTCACACTGTTTTGGTAGACCAAGACTCCTACTGCATGTCTCTCGGGTTCTGCTCAGCAGCTCCATCACGCCGTTCTATTTACCTGCGCCTAGGCTCTGAAAACCCTCAGCTTCGTACAGCGTCTTGAGCGTCAAGACTCAACCGTCGAGCTAGTACAGCACCTGGCCTCCAACAACACGTCCAGATCTACAGTGCTCCGCTGAGATACCCGACGGCAATATACTACCACACCACAAGTACACCACGGCGAATTCATATCTACATCACCCATGGCAAATGACACGCATAGATTCAAACGTCATCTATTGAGGGCGGCAACTTGCATCTTGACTTTTGCTTCGCCCAAGGGAGGAACCGGCTTGCTCAGACTTTCCCACCGTCCAGTCGAGGCCAGCTACTTGTATCAATGTCCCACCCGCGAACCGAGGGAGGGAGCAGCGCGCTTTCGCCCGAACATGCTCAAGCCTCTTCCCGTCGCATTATCCACCCTGGAGTCACGGTTCCGCAGGTCTCCCCCTTCCGATGGACCGACCATTGCTCAACCTTGCTCAGGCTGGGCGGGGACCAGTCACCGGAAGACGGACCTGACGAAAAGCTCCACTGTCAGTCGGGTAACCAAAAACCGACGTTGATGATTGTTTTCGAAAAAATAACGACGTGATCGTCACGCCGCCGGCGGTCCCCCTTTCGTCCTGTCGGAAACGACAGGACCGACTGGAAACCATCGGCGACGCGGGGTCGCAGCATCGACCCACTTGTAGCGAGGGCGCCAGGACAACCGGCACGCCCCGAGGACCAGCTCGGGGGCGGAACCGCTGCCGACGACACCTCTGTGGATGACGTGGGCGGGCGAGCATCAGGCCGCCCAGCGCGTCCCTTGTATCCTCTGTCGAGGTCAAGGCGCGCGGGGAGAGGGCGGAGTGCGTCGCCCGCAGCGAGTAAGGGAATGTACAGCCGGGGAAGGGGCTTTTTCTCTCATGTGTGTGTGCGTGTGTGCGTGATTGCGTGTGTGCTTCCGGCACCTCCGGCGTCCTCTGTCACAGTGTCTCGTGCATCGTTTAGCGGACGACGATGCCGTTGCGGCGAGAACCGGAGCCGGAGACGGAGTGCTTCTTGTACGACGCGGGCTCGACCTCGTACTCGTCATCCTCGGAGATGGAGGAGGAGCAGTCGGAGCTCGAGTCGCCGTAGCCGCAGCGGTCGCCGCCACAGTCGATCTTGACGCGCTCGCCCTTGCGGGTGATGCCGTAGCGCTCGCAGGTGCAGGAGCTGACGTCGGAGCCGGGTGTCGAGTAGCCAGACAGGGACGACGAGGGGCTGGAGCTGTCAGAGCGGTAGGACAGGGACGAGCCGGTGGAGGAGACGGGCGAGTTGCTGAAGTCGGTGACCATGTCGTCCCTCGTCAAAACCGGCGGCGCCGAAGCGGGCGGTCAGCTCGTCGATGGTCTCGTCGTCGCAGTAGTCGGCGTCGAGAATGTGACGGGTGGCGTGGGGCGACATGGGCTTGGGAGCCTTGATCTGCGAGGTCGACAGGGGGCGGCCCTTGGGGATGTCGACGGACAGGCCCGAGGCGCGGTGGCGCGAGGAGCGGTGCTCGCGGGACCTCTCCTTGTCCTTGCTGGAGGAGGACGAAGAGCTGTGGCGAGACGAGGAGGAGGAGGAGCTCTTGTGGGACGAGGAGTGCGATGACCTGGACGAAGACTTGGACGAGGACGAAGAAGACTTGTGGGAGCGGGAAGAACCGTCGGTGGGGACGTCGAGGATGTTCAGGGCGCGGCCAGTGGTGGGCTCAACGGTGGACGTGACGCTGGGGTTGTGGGCGACGTGGTAGCCGTCAATGATGTAGTAGTACCAGTAGCGTTGGCCGGGCTCGAGCGTGGAGCCCTGGAACTTGAAGGTGCCCTTCCAGGAACCGGACTTGGAGGACGTCTTGTCCTTGGAGAGGGGAAGCTGGCCGACGTAGTTGTCCCAAGAGCCGAGAAGGTGGACGGTCTTGACACCTGAAGAGACGCGGAGAGAGAAAGAGAGTTGAATGGCAGACATTTTCGCTGGTGATTTGACTATGTCGAAACTGCGGGATGAGTGTATTTTCTGGTGTTGAAGATGTGTCGAGCAAGAAACTCCAGGTTTCGTTGATTAGTTGTTTGGGGTGGTGGTGATTAGACGATGCAGACAGAAATCATGGGGGCACAAAAAAAGGGTTGGTTTGAGGAACAAAATAAAGTCTCTCTTGACACCAGTTGACCGGCAACTCTGCTTGATGGTTGTGAGTTGGTGTTGGCGGTTTGGCGTGTTGTTTGTTGGATTAGAGACGATGAGGGTAGAGGCCAGCTCTGGAGAACAAAAAACGAACCACAAGGGGAAAGGGGAGGAGACACAACGAGAACCTGAAATTAGAGATTTGGAAGCTTGCTACAGGAGAGAAAAAGAGGAAAGGAAGGGCAAGTTGGTTGGGAAGGCTATGGGTTATATGGTAGGCCATCGATCGCGGCCCGCAGGCGAGGGCCCGGCAACAGAAGTCGACAACGATGAGTGTGGTACGCTTCCATGGCGACCACCCCTCGGCGTCCTTTCTCCTTGGTTCCCGTGTTTGTCACAACGAGCTACATGGGCTGTCCCGTCCGATGGAAGCATGCGAATTGGGGTGGAGCGGCACAAGAGCCCGTCACTTGAGGGGCTGACCCAATGAGGAGGCCATCGAGGGCACCACAAGCTGTGGATGGCGGACAGAAGCAAGTAGCATCACACTGGCGGTCGACTGGGGCGACGGCATGTGCGTGTGTGCTCATCTCTCCGGGCGGGCCCTCCGTCCATCCATCCAGAGCAACCAGAGGCGAGGAGACAGGGAAGACGGCGCCGGGTTGTGCTGACGCCTGGGCCCGCTGGGTGGTGCTCTGTGGTGATGGGGTGCTGATGAGTGGTGCTTTGCGTGGTGCTGAGCACCTGGGCACAAGGTGAGGTTCATCGCGGTACCTCGAGAAAGTGGGGCTCCAGAGACAGACAAAGAGAGAGGGAGAGAAAGCTGCAGGAGCCGGCGGCTACAGAGCTCAAGGCTGTGGGAAAGAGGGGAAAGAGAGAGGGACGGGTCCGGCACTAGGCAGGTGTCGGCGGTCGTTGGGCGTCTATGATGGCATCGTGATTGGCTGATCGCCTACACGACACCCCTGGTCTGTGGCCAGGCCGCCTATCAGCCATCACGCGGCATGCGCCAATGAGACGTTGTTGCTGCCCTCGACTCGTTTGCGCTGTGGCTGGCGACCTGTACTGTGGCCCTCCACAAGCACAAGGTCTCTATCGCTCGCTGCCTGTATCCTGCTGGCGTGCTGTGGAGCCACGATATGGCAACTCGTGCAAACAGGTTGACGACGACGACTGCGAACCACGGCGCCAATGCGCGCCATTCTCCTTCCCCTTGTGCTCATTGCCGAGTGGCTTACGCCTGCACCCTGGCACATATTGACTGACTGCGTCACGAACGGTGATCAGGTCCCATGCCGCCGCCGGGCCGCTTCTCATTGGAGGCACCACGACACCCACTATCACTATGCAGCTCGTCAGTGCTGGAGCGGCACGACGATCGCACGAGTCGGACCATGAGATGAGATCGAGGTTCCCACGTCCCTTTGTTATCGAATGGCACCTGGGTATCTGGTTCAGCTCACACCATAGGTAGGCAGAATGTGCTCGCTGTGTATCTCTTTACCACGCGTAAGACAGTCGACCAAGAAGTCAGGCATTGGGGGTTCTGACAGGTCCTGTCGCCCCACGTACGGAGCACGGACAAACTAATAATAGCATGCTGGTACCCAGCTTGGCACCATGCTGATCGGCGGTCGAGGCTGGTAAGCGGTCGTGGTGCTGCAAAAGCTGCTGCCACTCGGCCACTTCAGAGCGACCCCCCTCTTTCATCGGACCACGACGGATATGCATTCACTTGACCAGCCTGCCATGGATCGCATGTCTGTCTTCTCCCCACCACCATCCCAGCTGAAGAAAGGGAGAATGAGTGATCTATTGATTTTTCGGTTTTGGCTCAACTGGTCTAGGTGCAAGGTGTGCCGTCCGGCTTCATGCAGACCATGACCGTTAGCCCCGGCGGGTATGTGAGCTTCGTCACACGGCACCGAAGCACCCAGTGATGGCTACCGTTCGAAGGCGATCCACTTTCAGCGCAACCGAACCAACTGCGGGTGTCGGTGTCGACCTGGCGTGGTGGAGAAACGAGTGCCTGCGTCAATGTCGTCGATCTCCACACGGGCACGATCGGCTGTTGAGATGCAGCTGGGAGAGTCATGGGAACCAAGAGGTTTACTGAGACGTGGTCGAGTCGATCCTCTGAGGCCGAGAAAGAGGAGTCCGCTGGCCCCGGCCTTGCTCGAAGATGAAGTAGAAAATGGGGGGTAGAAGGCAGAGACTATCAAGGACGGTAGGAGTCTAGATACACTTGAGAGGCTTCGTTCTTCAGCAACGAGGTAGCTATAGCCAGCATTTGGCCCGAACTTTCTGATGATGTCACGGTAATGCCTGCACGGCTTCCGATGGTCACAATGATCTGCAGCAGAATTTTCACACCAGCAGAGAAAGGGGCACCACTGTATTGTCGATATACTTGGCTGGTGATAGATGCGGCATCGAGCTTGGCCTTCACTTCAACCCACAGATCCAACTAGTCACGTGACCTCGCGTCTCACCACGCGATGACGCAAAACTCTGACCGACTCCATCGTCAATACCACGACGCGTGTGGCCGATCAACCTTCTAAGCTAGTTAGCCAGGTCCGCCAGGGACTCGGAACTCCAGGCAGCTACGATTGACTTGCATCTTGGCGGGGTTCTAGTATCAGACCGGTAATCAGCCAAGGCGGAGGCACTCGCATGTCGTACGGTCTTTCCAGATAGAAAGTAAAGTTAAGACGGCACGCTACTCGCCAGCACGCTCCGACCAACAACGGACATCGTACAGCAATATAGACGCTTAAAGACTATACCATCCAGTCTATGACAAAACCCTTCATGCCACATAGCTCAAGATGGACCCCCTCGACCTCTACGCAGACGACAATCTCGTCACCGCCGCAGCGGCCTACGTAAAAGACTACATGTCTAACTACGATGCCTCTCACGACTGGTCGCACATCCTCCGCGTCCTTGCCCTCGCCCACAAGATCTACAACGACCCCACCACCAACACCATCGCAGCCAGCAAGCCGGCCCTCTCCCTCCGCAAAATCACCCTCGCCGCCCTCCTCCATGACGTCGGCGACAAGAAGTACCTCCAGCCAGGTCAAGACCACACGCGCCTCGTCCATGACGTCCTCCTCGAGCGTGGCGCCCCGGAAGCCCTGGCCGTCGAGATTCAGACCATCTGCCTCGGCGTCAGCTACTCCTCCGAGGTCAAGGACCCGAACGCCGTTGTCGCCCTGCTCGCGCGCGTCCCGGAGCTCGCCGTCGTGCAGGACGCCGACCGGCTCGATGCCATCGGCGCCGTCGGCGTGGGCCGCTGCTTCACCTTTGGCGGCGCCAAGGGCGGGGGCCGGGGTCTCCAGGGGGCGATAGACCACTTTGAGGAGAAGTTGCTGCGGATCGAGGGCATGATGAAGACGGAGGCTGGCAGGCGCCTGGCGGCCGAGAGGACGGAGAGGCTGAGGGTCTTCGAACAGTGGTGGAGGGACGAGACGGCGTAGTGGCGTCTTCTGGCGAAAGGCGGATAGGTGGGCGGCGTCTCGCGTCTCTTTGGTCACATAGATGCAATGCGATACCCTGAATCTGAAGACGAGAGTTTTGTCTCATCACCCTCTTCGTCACAATACTTGTATTCGATGCTGCTTCATCTCTTCTCGACTGGCCTTGGCTTCATCATAGTCAATGCTACTTACGAATACGTGGCTCAAAATTGG